TCTTAAAGAAGACACCCTAGGGTATTTCAAAAGATGTGCTTTGAACCTTAGCGTGAAATAATTTTTCCACTAGCTTATACCAAGTGTAGTGGTAATAAGCATTTTTTTATGCCTTTTTGACATACTAAATGAGTTTGTAATATATATTTTGCAAACCTTATATGTGCTACAGCAGTATAATACATCATATGTTGCTCCGCAATGTCATCTGAGTACATCAATACCCCCGTATGTACCTTTACCAGATATATGACAACGTTGAAGGGGCACATTTGAGACACAGACATTTAAGTTAGAATTTTTACGCTGGGTCCATGCCCCACTTTGGAATTTTTTTAATAGGTTGTTTTTTCCAATTACTTCACAAAGGCATACCATTTCCTAAAGAAGACACCCCAGGGTGTTTCAAAAGGCATATTTGAAACCTTAGCGTGGTATAATTTTTTCGCTAGCCTGTACCAAGTGTAGAGGTAATACGCATTTTCCCCCTTTTTAAAATTTTTTTTTACTTTTTAAAAGTTTTTTTAACTTTTAAAAAGTTTTATTTAGCTTTTAACAACTCATTTTACTTAATTTACTATTTTAAAACTTTGTTTAAACTTTTCAAAAGTTTTTTCACTTTAAATTTATTTATTTTTTACTTTTAACCCCTAACTAGCCTAACCGTAAATCCCCCAATTTCCCCACTAACGTCTACCCACCCTAGCTAAATAAATATTTTAAAATATTTAAATTAAATACATTTAACCCCTGAGAATTAAAAAAAATAAACCCTCAGGGGTTAAAAGAAATAAAATCAGATCACAGTGAAATACTGTGATCTGTATTTTGATCACTGCAGGCAGTGATCAAAGGGCAGGGAAGGGGTTAAATTTTATTTGAAAGAGGTGAGGAGGGGTGGGATTTTATTGCTAACACTTTTTTTTTTTACAGGGAGAGACAGATCAGCACTGATCTGTCTCTCTGCAGTTCACACGGAGCTGCAGGGAAACAGATCGGGTTTCACTGCAGCACGTGTGATCGCTCTGACTGCCGGTCAGAGCAATCACATGGGCTGAATCAGTGAAACTGCCCATGGTAGTGTGCCTCCGATATGGAGACACACTACAGTAAGATGTGGCAATCAGGGGTTAAATTTCATCTTGGACGGAAATTTCCGTCCAGCGTCCTTAAGGGGAGTGCTGCAATGACAGAAAATTTCCATCCAGCGTCCTTAAGGAGTTAAGAAACAGCAAACGCCACCCCTCTACTGCAGAGGCTCCTTTGGAGGTGACAACAGGAAAGCATACATTTGAGGAGAGTCGCTGGAAGCAGATTAAAGGACCACTATAGTGCCAGGAAAACATACTCGTTTTCCTGGCACTATAGTGCCCTGAGGGTGCCCCCACCCTCAGGGTCCCCCTCCCGCCCGGCTCTGGAAGGGGTTAAAACTTACCTTTTTCCAGCGCTGGGCGGGGAGCTCTCCTCCTCCGATCCTCCTCCTGGGCTGAATGCACAGCGCGGCAAGAGCTGCGCGCGCATTCAGCCCGTCGCATAGGAAAGCATTTACAATGCTTACCTATGGACGCTTGCATGCTCTCACTGTGAAAATCACAGTGAGAAGCACGCAAGCGCCTCTAGTGGCTGTCAATGAGACAGCCACTAGAGGAAATAGGGGAAGGCTTAACCCATTAATAAACATAGCAGTTTCTCTGAAACTTCTATGTTTATAAAAAAATGGGTTAACCCTAGAAGGACCTGGCACCCAGACCACTTCATGAAGCTGAAGTGGTCTGGGTGCCTAGAGTGGTCCTTTAAGCAGTAATTATTGCAGCTAGCATGTTAACTTCCTTAAACTAAACTTGACCAAAACTGAAATTCTGGTCTTTCCTCCCTTAAGTGTTGTTCCTCCTTTGTCTGTGTCCCTCCAAGTCAACGGTGCTACCATCAGCTACACCACGCAGGCTCGATGCCTAGGTGTTTTCTTTGACTCTGACCTCTCCTTCAAGCCTCATGTTCAATCTATCCCCAAATCCTGTCATTTCCATCTCAAAAACATTGCGCGCATCCGCCCCTACTTAACGCCAGATGCGACTAAGGTGTTGGTCCATTCCACTGTCCTTTCTCGCCTTGACTACTGTAATCCGCTTCTCAGTGGTCTTACGTGCTCTCAACTTGCGCCGTTACAGTCCATAATGAATGCCGCAGCGAGGCTCATCTTCCTGTCCGGCCGCACCTCCCATGCCTCACCCTTCTGTCAGTCCCTACATTGTCTTCCTATAAAATATAGAGCTCAATTTAAAATCCTGGTTCTTGCTTTCAAATCTCTACATAATGCTGCTCCCACATATCTATCCTCCCTTATACACAATTATGTCCCGTCTAGGCCCTTACGATCTGCTGAAGACTTACGTCTATCTTCTGTCCGTACTCCCACCTCTGATGCTCGCCTTCAAGATTTCTCGAGGGCTGCACCGTTCCTGTGGAACTCGTTTCCCTCCTCCGTTAGATGCTCACCCAGTCTCCACTCCTTCAAAAAAATCGTTAAAAACCCACTTCTTCATAAAAGTGTATCAATTAAACTATTAATAGCTCCTGACTGATTCCTCTTCTGCAACTGTCTCTAGTCTAATACTATCCTTACTTTTTTGTGTCATTTTACCCCACTCCCTCTAGCATGTAAGCTCATTGAGCAGGGCCCTCAACCCCTCTGTCCCTGTGTGTCCAACTTGTCTGGTTATAACTACATGTCTGTTCGTCCACCCATTGTAAAGCACTGCGGAATTTGATGGCGCCACATAAATACCATAATAATAATAATAATGTCCCATGTTAGGGGTATTGTGACATAGTGGTGGGCGATAGTTGATTTTAAGTAGTCTTGTTAAAAAAAAATATAGCAAAAGGTACAAAGCATCACCGGATACTGTAAAAGGTACACAGGTCTCTGCTCAGTGAGGAATCCAATAGTTTAGTTTCAAACATAAATCTAGAGTAGTTAAAAGAAGACCGAGAAACACTCAGTATTTATCACCATGTTAGAGGCAAAACACTAATGGACTTATTATAGTATTTATCATACCTTGGGAATGTAGAGTCCATTGGAGGCATGTCACGATAGCACTCACCATAGGTATGATAGAAAAGCTTTGTTGGCACTCGCAGAAGGCAACATTTTTTTTGTGCCCCTGACATTGTTGCTTCACATGTGCCTACTGTGAGTGCTGGTAAACTTTTTAAATTTTACATGTCGTGAGCACTGCCATGGCATGCTTTCATTAAAACAACTTTGCATTCTTATTGCATCCACGACTAGAATCTCCTTGCCAGGCATCTCCCTGAGAAAGTTTTGTTTGATATTTGGGCAAGCTGTAAGCCAGGTTAATTGTATATATTTGTTTAGTTATAATACCTCCAAGCCTTGGGAGGTAAAGATGTTGGGTGTGATGATGGATATGGACCCGTTTAAAAAGTAGGTGCTCTGTCTGAGAAGGGAGGGTGGGAAAAATAAAAAATAAATGAATAAAAAGTAGAGCATCACATTAGATCAGGGATGGCAAACTTTGATAACACAGAATTAATTATTGCTTTCCTTGATTCTTACCTAGCCAGTCTTTAG